CCCGTGTATTTAGAAAAATTTTCTAAAAAATCCCGAGGGAAATTTGGTTTAATTTAGGGTGATTTTTCTTGAAATAAGAAATATTTTCCTGTTTTTAGGGTGATTTGCCCTAATTTTAAGGTGTATTTTTCTAAAATTAAGGGCGAATTTTCTGTTTTTATAGGCAAATGCCCTAAAAAATTAGACAAATTAAAAAAAATCGTGTTTGAGCATGCTTAACTGAATTTGGGAAGCATGTTTTTTTTTAATCGTCTATATTCTGGGAACTGGGACTGCTTTAATTAAACAACACCGGCGGAGGACACCGTTTCATATTATTGTATTGGTGTGTAGTTTATATGGGAGCCGGGTTAAGAGGGGGGCCCGATCTATACAGCACAGCCGTTAGAACTGAAAAATCATGTTTGTAAATGAATTAGGGAAATAAATATGAGGAGAAAAAACAACTTACTTTTTTTGGCCATGGCGAGAATCGAACCCACGACATCTCGGTTTAGAGTCTAACGTCCTACCGCTGCACCACAGACCCATCGCGCAAGACGACGAACAAACTCTGCACACATCTTATTTTCTTGAGGTCTACGTTATAATATGACTAAAGGCAACTAAACCGTATATTTTTTTCCTGACGACTGTGACAATTAGTCCCGTTTTCTTGCCCGCAAACACAAAGAATGCTTTTAACTCAGAACTCCCATACGTTTTTAAGGTTTAAAGACTACTTTAATTTAAAATTCGGACGAAAAAATGTCCTCAGTATTATAATGTTTACAAAAAAAAAAAAAAAAAATAAAAATCAAGTTGAATCACACAGGGTTCGAACCCAAAACCCCACGACCTTAGTCCTTATATAGCAAAGTTGAAAGCGCAAGTGATTAGACCGCTGGGCTACCGAATTTCACACTTTTGGAGTGATTTTTAAGGCGAATCGCCCTTGTATTTAGAAAAATTTTAGAAAAAAATTAGGGCAATTCGCCGTTGGATTTAGAAAAGGTCAAAACGAAGCAAATCGAAAAAAATCGCCCTAAATATTAGAAAAATAGAAAAATTAACCCTAAAAATATTTTTTTATGGTCACCTGCCTTAAATTTATGGCAAATTTGTCGTGAAAATAGAAAATTTTTCTCAGTTCAAAGGCGAAAAATTTTTTAGGGCGATTTTCTAAAATGTAGAAAATTATTTTTATGAGTGTATTTCGCTGGAATAAATCCTATTGAAATTAATATGAATATATTATTCTGATTCTGTACATGTTTACTTGATAACAATGTATTTAATTCTCATGAATATGAAATCTAATTAACACTTGACTTATAAACTCTTACGAAAATCAAGGAGTTCCCCCTTAACCCCCCAAACTCACAACCTCTTCCTCCTCTGTAGATATTAACACCTGGAAAATCTCTCAGGCTTCTCTGAAATGTGGTACAAAAAGTTACGCCCGCTGGCGAAAATAGCGAGCGAAAAAAATTACAATCTACAAATCTAATTAGCAACTCATTACGAGGATCGCATCCCTGAGCCAAATACTCCCCCGCCGGTCGGCGGAACAAATGGACAAAGGAGAAGCATAGCAAACATATTGACCGATTTGCTGAAGTTAATCAATTAATTAGGGTAGAGAGCACAGGGAAGCGGACCAGGAGTTCCGTGAAAGCAAAAACAATTATGTCAAAATACATGCATGGGGATGGGATGGAGATGGGTTCATGGGGAGGAAGGACCTGGCCAAGGGAGGCGCAGACAAAGGCGAAAGTGTCCGGATGCCAGAATGGGCAAGGAAAAACGCGGCGGAAAAATTAATGATAAGTGGCAGTGGAAAAGCGAGCTGCCACGCAGCTGTTAGGTTCACACAGGGAGACACGACCACGGCGACTTCACGACGATACCGCACGCAAAATCCCAAATGATGGTCATCATCATCGGGTTCGAGAGCAGTTACCAACGTGGCCGGGACGAAGGATGCGGATACCCGGCCGCCCATAAGCTGAAAAGCGCAACGCGTGCCCCAGAAATCGAAATAAATAAATCGGTAAACGGTAATGAGCAGCTCCTCCCCGCTTTACATGCGGGGCCATCGCCATCCGCAGATAATGTCGTAATCAAAATTCACCAAAAAGGAATATATCAAAATGCGATTGTTTGGCAGGCAAATTAAAAGTAAATAAGGCAACGTTCGCAAATTGTGAGAGGGGGAGCGACAGCCGTAAAACTCAAGCCGAATCCGAAACCGAAAATAAAATAAAAAGATATATAAACCGTGAAATTAGGAAAACACTTGAAGTGATTCGATGTGCCCCGAGACGATGTAAGCAGGGGTGTTTGCGTAGACCCAGCACCCTGATTCGGTCGGGGGTTGCAAGGACTAGCAGCGAAGTGCTTAATAGTCCATAATGGCCACATTATGTCGGCTCAGGCAATTCGAGTACTCAGTCAGCCACGCAATTGTCAGGCCAACAATGGAGGAAGAATTGAGCAATTGTCAAGTAGTTATCTGCGGCGAGGGCGATCCATATCCATGAATAAATAGCTTCGGAATAGGCATATTTACAATGGACCATTCTAATTATACGATCACAATGCGTAGGTAATAAAATGAACGAATATTGTTTCTGTAAATATAACTTTATGAGGACTGTCTTAAAAAAGAAAGAACGCAATGTTAATCTTTTAAGCAAGATATGTGATATGCTGGACTTGGGCACGAGGTTTTAGTCCTCATTTCTTTTGTTTACGATTAAATGATAATGGTGAAATAGTCTAAAAGTTTATATATAGTGTATTTATTAAATGAACAAGATATCTAAAAAGTAATAAATGACATTACATTTGTATCGATATGCCAATATGTCAGTAGAAGTCAGTACGATTTCAAAACCTGGGTAACTGTAATATTTAGGTTAATCAAAATCTTTTGTTTTTTAAAAAGCAAATGCAAATAAATATACAAACTTTCTCAATTCGAGTTACATGAGTGTGAGACACATTAAAAATTCGAACTAATTGTTTCCTACATTTCGAGCGAATCAAATTGAGGTGCCCGCATATCGTCAAAATGTATACCACCTAATATCAAAGCGATAATCGTTTTTTGTTGATCATATGGCATTTATATAAATTTATAACATTTATATAAATTTTAAAAACATTTTTTTGGTCAAAGAGACCTGACTACAAAAAAGATTCTATTTTAAGGCTTTTCCCGGGTACAAGGAGTGCCGAATATTATTCCCCCCACGACTATTCATTAGCCGAATAATCCTAAATCAAGTAAGCTTTTTCGAAACGCCCGCAGATATTTTCCGGATTCGTACAGAAGGCAGACACGACTTGTGCATTTTCCATTTTCATAACTTTGCAGGAAGTAAATCCTTACTTTTTTACTCATCAACTTACTTTTGTGCTTTTGCCTTCGGTTGCCTTCCAAGCAAAGTTTATTTCAAGAAAAAATGGCATCGTCTCAAAGGAAGATAGAATGCTGGAATCAAGAAGGATGTGAAAAAGTACAAATATTTAAAGTTTTCCTGCCAAGGCAGCTAATTTTGTTGCCTTTTTCACGCGTTCCCATGTTTGAAGACGGCGGGAGAGAAGGAGGGTTTCGGAGTCACAGCCAAAGGGTTAACTTGAAGTTTGAGTTCCGCAGGGGGTATTTTCAACTTTCTTTCGTATTTTTCGCATTTTGCTGAACCACAATTTTTAAGTCCCGCTGGAAATTGGGACCCAAAGTTTGTTAAACCCGCAGCATAAAAATTTGATGAGTTTGGCATTTTCTTTAATTGAAATTTGTGATCTTTTAAAAGCTTTGAGACTTTTTCCCGCTCTAGGTGGCAACGTTTTTTCTAGTTTGATTAAACATGGAGCGGGAAAAGCTAAAGTTGGGGTCTCAAGTGCCCTCAAGTGACTGTAGTCATTTTACAGGGAGACGCACTCACATATGCGATTAGCTGGGGATTAAAATGTCACCCCTTTTGCGCCACGTCATGCAATCTACAAGACTCGCAGCGCAGCTATAGATACATTTAATTACAAACAAATAAAAGTCATGACAGCCACACACATGTGCCTGTGCCCGAGCTACTCAACCCCCATTTTTCCGCTCAGGTTTAGCTCGAGGCATATGCAACAGTTCTCACGCCCGAGGACAGTTCATCTATCCTATCCTATTCGCTACTCAGTATCCTTACGGCTCGTATCTTTGCATCTCTAATAATCGGTTTATTATTTCTTCCCTCCTGTCCCTCACTTCTGACCCAAATCGGGAAAAGCCCAACCTTTGGGACCGCACCACAAAACCTTTCCCGAAAACTTTCAAAAGGGAAAGAAACGGGAGATGAGAAGAAAGCCAGGCGGGAGTATCTTTGAAATTAACTTTATTTATTTAACTACTTAGAGGCAGATTATCGCAATTACACACTTCAAATGATTTTATGCAAACCAGATTGCTCCCATAGATTCAAAGGGCACACAAATGATTTAAAAATTCGACTAAGCCGTAGTTTGTAAAGAATATATGGTTTTCTATTGTTATATCAGCGTGGATATTATCATTTGGCTGCTTTTTTAAGTTCTGGTTTAATCAGAATAGCAATAAAAAGGTAATAACCAACAAATAAATACATGGTATGGAAAAATTAAAAAAAGTATAAAGTGAGTTGGGACGTTTCTAAAATTTTTGAGTAGTTTTATGGTGACACTTGGAAGTTTCCCAATTTACAGAACATTTTTTTCAATCTAGCCTGTTTTGGCACTTTTCCAAAAACGTCCTTCATCGATCAGGTTTTAAACATATCTTTTATAAAGTTTTTCGTGTTTTTATATCTAGAGAGTATAAAAATGAATTATTTTGAACAAAATCATAATCTTTAGGCGCTAATTTAATCATAAATTTGGGAGATCTTTTTATGCTTTGTCCCAGTTCCCTTAGATATAATCAGATGTTTAACTACTCATGCTTTTCTAAATGTTTTCCTTAGTCAAAACTCCTTCTTTCTATCCCCCAGCTGTGCAGCACGAGCGCGGTCCGAGGAAACCGAAGCTGCATCCGCAACTGCACCACCACCACCACCATGCCGCAGCCGCCGCCGCTGCAGCCCACCATGCAGCGGCCGCCCACCACCACCACCATCATCACCACCATGCCCACGCCCACGCAGCGGCGGCCCATCATGCGGCGGCTGCAGCAGCGGCTGCTGCGGGTCTGCACCACCACCACCACGGTGGCCACCTGCCCGTCTCCCTGGTCACCAATGTCTCGGCCTCGTTCAACTACACGCAGCACATCTCCACGCATCCGCCCGCTGGTGCGGCACCACCCAGTGGCTTCCAGGGCCCCGCTCCACCAGCTGGCCACTTGCACCACGCAGCGGGAGGACATCAGCATGCCACGGCCTTCCACCATCCGGTGGGTCATCCGGGTTTGCCGGCTCCACATGGCGGGGTGGTCAACGCACCGAGCGGTAACTCCAGCAGCGGCGGTGCTGGACCCTCGCTGACCTTCCCGCCGCACCTGCTGCACCACAACCTGATCGCCGAGGCGGCCAGCAAGCTGCCGGGGATCACGGCCACCGCCGTGGCGGCCGTCGTCTCCTCCACCACCACGCCCTACGCTCCTCCGACGGCCCAGGCCTCTTCGCCCAGCAGCAACCACAACCACAACTACTCCTCCCCGTCGCCCAGCAACTCCATTCAGTCCATCTCGAGCATTGGATCGCGCAGCGTGGGAGGAGGGGAGGAGGGTCTGAGCCTGGGCAGCGAGAGTCCGCGGGTGAATGTGGAAACGGAGACACCGTCGCCCTCCGCCTCACCGCCCCTCAGTGCCGGCAGCATTTCGCCGGCTCCCACGCTGACCACCTCCTCGGGATCCCCGCAGCCAAGGCAGACTTCCCTGCACAGCCTTAGTGAGGCCACCACGCCACCCAGTCACGCCTCCCTGATGATCCGCAACAATAATAATAATAACAACAATAATAATGGGGAGCACAAGCAGGCTAGCTACACATCCGGATCTCCGACGCCCACCACGCCCACGCCCCCACCGCCCCAGAGATCAGGTGGTGGCGCCTCATGCCCCACGGCGACGAGCTCCAATGGCTTCCTGGAGCTGCTGCTCAGTCCGGACAAGTGCCAGGAGCTCATCCAGTACCAGGTGCAGCACAACACGCTGCTCTTCCCCCAGCAGCTGCTGGACTCGCGGCTGCTCTCCTGGGAGATGCTGCAGGAGACGACGGCGCGACTGCTCTTCATGGCGGTGCGCTGGGTCAAGTGCCTCATGCCCTTCCAGACCCTGTCCAAGAACGACCAGCACCTGCTGCTCCAGGTAAGGATTTCTATCTACCCATTTTACACGCACTGTTGCTGTTGAACTTGCTATGGTCAAGGGCCTCGACTAACTGATACCCTTCACTCTGCAGACGGGCGCCGCCAGCGGGTGGAAAAGGTACCACTGACCATGGAAGGCTTTTGTAACCTAGTTACTCATATACCCAAAAAAAAAATCGATATGAAACGTAGATCGATTTTACATTATTTAAGATTAATTTTAATTTGACATGCGGCCAGGTAAATTGGATCTGGTCGAAAAGGGTATTTCACGTAAAAACGATATGGGTTTTGAATGACCTGCAATTTATATGGCCATATCGATTTTACGGGAACATACTTTTTTTGTGTATAACTTTGGATATAATAGAGCGATAGGCAAGATTTTCGTCATGTAGATTCATAATGACAAATAGAACCAATTTCAATTTACATCGTATCAAAACCTTTTAATTTGTAATGTGCATCAGAGAATTTTCTAATTAAATATATTTACCTTACGTGGTACATAATTTTCAAAAAAATATAGTATTCCCTTTTAGTACGGGTTTAACTAATTAACTTCCTTCGAAATTTCGAACAAAAATCCAACAATCCGGATCTTTTAAAATTATTTAGAACATCTAAATTTAAAACCCAACCGATCCTAATAAAGACACATAAAAACATATTTAAAATGTGAAATTTCCGTGACACATTAATTCATATGTAATGAACCCCTTTCTTCTAGGAATCCTGGAAGGAGCTCTTCCTGCTCAACCTGGCGCAGTGGACTATTCCCCTGGACCTCACGCCCATCCTGGAGTCGCCACTGATCCGGGAGCGAGTGCTGCAGGACGAGGCCACGCAGACGGAGATGAAGACGATCCAGGAGATCCTGTGCCGCTTCCGGCAGATCACTCCCGACGGCAGCGAGGTGGGCTGCATGAAGGCCATCGCCCTGTTCGCCCCGGAGACAGCGGGTTTGTGCGACGTCCAGCCGGTGGAGATGCTGCAGGACCAGGCGCAGTGCATCCTCTCGGACCACGTGCGTCTGCGCTACCCACGCCAGGCGACCCGCTTCGGGAGGCTTCTGCTCCTCCTCCCCTCGCTCCGGACCATCCGAGCGGCCACCATCGAGGCGCTCTTCTTCAAGGAGACCATCGGAAATGTGCCCATTGCGCGGCTCCTGCGCGACATGTACACCATGGAGCCGGCCCAGGTGGACAAGTGAATGGGTGGCCACACGAAATGTAATCAAATCGATTTCGTAGGATCTAAACACCTGCAAAAATATTTGTATTCCAATGCGACCCGAAAAGTATTCAGATTCATACGCAGGGGGGGAAATTGGGCAGCTGCAGATGCGACAATTCGCAGGGCGCCATGTAATAGATGGGGGTACTACAGTACTACGTACATATGTACACCCCAAAAAAACCACGCTACTCCATTGGCGCTGCTACTCACACCTTGATTTATCGCCAGCAATGCGTCGCGCTCTCTCTTTACTTTCGTTTCATTTTCTAACATTTTTATTCTTATTTTATTTCATCTTTTTTCACGGATTTTTCTTTTTGACTGCCTGGGCGGCTTTATTTATCTTTCATTCGACGTTTTGTCGTCGCTTTTCTAAAAATTCCCCATGTTATTTCAACCTGGCAAGGACCTCCATTCGCAATCCCATTCCCTTGGCCTTACTTACAAATCACTCCCCATCCTGCAATACCGTTGTCGCACAAATTTTTACCTTTTTCGCGCTTTGGCTTTGAAAGTACCCTTTAATAGGGCAAATAAGATTGGTATAGACCTCTCTTGAAAACCGTTACTTTTTAGAAATGCCGTCTAGAATCCCATAGCTTAAAAAAAGAGGTTCTGTACTTCTTAAGTTTAATTGTTACAAATTTAATACATTTTTGTAAAATATATTTCGGAGACTTTTCCTACTTTTTGTACTTACCACAGGGTATTAAAAATCGTCTCTGAAAGCCTGCCCACTATTACATTCGTGATTTAATATGACTCCCCTTTACTCCCGTGCTTTTTTCAATACCTTCCTCCCGCTATTTCCCAGTCTTCCTTTTGGGGTACCATTCCGAAAAACGCGTTTAGAAATCGTGAAAATGAAAAAACAACTTTGCCGCAGGTCAAGCGACCAATTTATGTTGCATGTTATGCCTCACTGTTACTGTTGGCTCGTTGGTTGCCTCTCTGGCTTGATGTTTCAGTTAGTTTTATGAAATGCATACCCACCCACATCACATATATAAAACTGTATCGATGTTTCTGGACATGCAGGCCAAACGCTTTATAATGCATTTTTTCACATTGATACTCGTAAAGCGACAAGAACATAAAGTTAGGTATAGCGAAAATAAAACATTATTAAATATAAATAAATGTAAAACGATGATGGATGAATAACCAACTAAGGCCAAACTAAATACATTGAAATATAATACAAAAAATCGTTATTTCTTTATTTGGATTGTTGTTAAATGAAGAACAATATGAAAAAGGTAATTTGAAAGTGAGTTTCAATATGGGCTTAATGGCAACGTTGAGAGTACGGCACTGACAGGAAAGGTTATCCCTGACCTATCCTCCACACAAAAAAATTTCCTTGGAAAATTGACCAACAAAGATAGTTACGTAACTATTAAAATAGTTACGTGTACTTTGTTTTTGCTTTGGGTTTGTGTCTTTTCTAATTGCTATTTGTTTTTTTGCTATTTACTTAGTAGAATTGACAACTTTGCTGGTTGGGGCCTGTTTGACAATTATTACAGGTGATTTTACCAAGTTTTTTTTTGTGTGTAGTAGTATAAGACCTTCCAAAAGCCAGGAAGAGAAATGCTCAACTTTAAGTTGAGGTGTATTCATGTATTCATGAAAAAATAATTCTTTGAGATTGCAATGAGGGGAACTTTAGGGTAAAACCATATATTGTACACAAAAAAAATTTGCTTGGTAAAATTGACCAACAAAGATAGTTACGTATCTTTTAAAATTGTAACGTGTATTTTGTTTTTGCTTTGGGTGTGTGTATTTGCTAATTGTGTGTATTTTGTTGTTGTGGAATAACTATTTACTTAGTAGAATTGACAATTTTGCTGGTTGGGGCCTGTTTGACAATTATTACAGTTGATTTTACCAAGTTTTTTTTTTTGTGTGTAAGTATGTAACCGGTAGAAAGGTGTTTCCAACCCTATAAAAGTTTTGCTAGTTATACCTCTTACTCGTAGAGTAAGAGCATTATTGACCCTATAAAGTATATATATTCTTGATCAGGGTCACTAGCCGAGTCGATATAGCCATGTCCGTCTGTCCGTCCGTATGAACGCTGAGATCTCGGAAACTATAAAAGCTAGAGGATTGGTATTTGGCATGAAGATTCTTGGAGCTACTACGCAGCGCAAGTTTGTCACAAGAAGGTGCCACGCACCCTCTAACTAATCGCTTAAATACGATTTTAAAAATTTAAATATTTCGGAAAAGTAAAAAAGGAGAAATTTTTCAAATCGGACCATTTGTTAAAAAGTTATGCGTGATCATAGTTTTCTATCTCCATCTCCCTCGCACTCCCTTTACCTGAGTAACGGGTATCTGATAGTCGGGGCACCCGACTATAACGTTCTCTTTTGTTTTCTCTGCGTAGGTCCCTGCCCTATGCAAAGGATCCTTAACCTGTAGTCTACCAAAATTAAGCAGTTCAAATTAGGTAATCCCCTAAGAACTAATCAAAAGGTTACTATACGATTTACTACGGTTTACTACGATTTACTACGGTTTGCTACGGTTTACTACGATTTACTACGATTTACAACGGTTTGCTACGATTTACTACGATTTACTTCGATTTACTACGGTTTACTACGATTTACTACGATTTACTACGGTTTACTACGATTTACTACTATCTACTACGATTTACTACTATCTTCTACGGTTTACTACGATTTACTACTATCTACTACGGTTTACTACTATCTACTACGGTTTACTACGATTTACCACGGTTTGCTACGGTTTACTTCGATTTACTACGGTTTACTACGGTTTACTACGATTTACTACAGTTTGCTACGGTTTATAACAATTTCCTACGGTTTACTTCGATTTACTACGGTTTACTACGGTTTACTACGGTTTCCTATGATTTACTACGATTTACTACGATTTACTACGGTTTACTACGACTTACTACGGTTTGCTATGGTTTATTACGGCTTACTATGGTTTGATTTATGGTATGATTTACTATTGTTTTACTACGGTTCCCTACTTTACGAAGTCACTTAGTATATACTCCGGGAAATGACTTCGGCTACACTTCTAGAAGTCACTCAGAAGCGACTCCGTGAAGTGTCGCCGAAGTGACGTCTGGAAGTGACTCAGATGTGACTCGGGGTGTCGCCAAAATAACGTCTGGAAGTGACTTCGGCGACACTTCTGGAAGTCACTCCTGAGTGACTCCGGGAAGTGTCGCCAAAGTGACGTCTGGAAGTGACTTCGGCGACACTTCTAGAAGTCACTCAGGAGTGACTCCGGGAAGTGTCGCCGAAGTGACCTCTGGAAGTGACTCAGAAGTGACTTGGGGAAGTGTCACCAAAATAACGTCTGGAAGAGACTTCGTCGACACTTCTGGAAGTCACTCAGGAGTGACTCTGGGAAGTGTCGTCGAAGTGACGTCTGGAACTGACTCAGAAGTGACTCGGGGAAGTGTCACCAAAATAACGTGACTTCGGCGACACTTCCAGAAGTCACTCAGGAGTGACTCCGGGAAGTGTCGCCGAAGTGACCTCTGGAAGTGACTCGGGGAAGTGTCGCCAAAATACCGTCTGGAAGAGACTTCGGCGACACTTCTGGAAGTCTCTCAGGAGTGACTCGCCGAAGTGACCTCTGGAAGTGACTCAGAAGTGACTTGGGGAAGTGTCGCCAAAGTGACGTCTGGAAGTGACTCTACGGGAAGTGTCGCCAAAGTGACGTCTGGAAGTGACTTTGGCGACACTTCTGGAAGTCACTTAGGAGTGACTCCGGGAAGGACTTCGGTATCGCAGAAGACAATTCCACACGTATCTTCCAGAGTATATTCTGAGATACTCCATAAAGTAGTGAACCGTAGTAAAACATTGTAAGCAATAGTAAGCCATAGTAAAACATAGTAAAACATTTATAAATGACTACCCCTAATAAAATATTCGTTTAGGTGATAGTCAATACCGGCACTTTCGATAGCCGCCCGGCTACTTTAATCGATATATCAGCACGAACAGCTGTGCGCCCGTGTTTTTCGCCCATTTCCAGACTGTGTTTACAATTATCTAATCGTAAATTAAAATAGAGCCATGTCCTGGCTAGGAAGTGCGATTCAGAGGCTAGGCAGAGCCACGCTCCTGGCAGTGGGTGGAAAGCACCCAGCTCCTGTGGCATCTACGAGCTCCACCGTGCGGCAGTTGTCCCACGCAGAGCGCCGAGCACGCGGTCCCACTGTGCGGCGTTACGGCTACGAGGACAAGATCTTCAAGAGCGGACTGCTGCCCCATGTGGACAACGGCCACAAGCTGCCCATGCCCGTGTACCGGCCGAAGAACGCCTGGTCCAAGAAGCGCGCGCTGTTCGGCCAGAACGACTACATCGACATTCTCGGGAGCGATCGACTGCATCCGGTCAAGGTCCTCTACTCCCTGCCCTCCTGGCTGCGCGGCGTCTCCGGCAACGAGTACCAGGTGCTGCTGCGCAAACGCCGGCTGCTCGAGAAGTCCAAGTATCCGGTGGCCCGGCCCACCAAGTGGCGGGAAATGGAGAAGCGCATCCTCTACCTGTACAAGTTCCTCAATCGCAAGACCAAGACGGGCTTTTCGCATCAGTAGACCCATTAGGATCAAATAAAATGTTTTGTTTTAATCTGATATTGTTTGGAGTTCACTTATCTTAAGAGTATGCTTCTGTACAAAGTTCCTGGATTCCATTTCTCATCATACTGATACTTTTAATGCTCACTTCAGGACTATTCTCGCCTCCTCGCCGTCGATTATAATTTTCTGCCCATGGAACAGACAGAACTCGCGTTTAACGTGAGCAAACAGTAGATCGGTGATGAGGAATATCTGACCGGTGGAAAACGCTAGTGTGGCGCCAAAGTAGAAATTAGCATTGGCCGAGCCAGCATAGATCCACAAATGCCAAAGGGCGCCCATCATGGACAGGGTGACCAGGAAGAATGTGAAGACCACAAAGCCGTGGGCCATGACTGAAAAGCAATGCAAATAATTATTACAGCTGAGTTAGAGTTTAGTAACTTACATTTCCAGCATCTTTTCCATAGCGGAAGCAAGGCCAAATAGAAGCCCACATCGCCCAGGCTGGGATATGCTCGAAAAACGGCCATTAGAGCCACCAAGACGGTGGCCAGCAGAAGGGGCTCCTTGCGCAGTTTGATACTCAGTGGCACCAGGTACAATACTGTGGCATTCAATTGGAATGTGATCAGGAACATGGTGCGAAAGTGCTCAAACATTTCGGTGAAAAAGTACCAGAACAGGCCGATATTCGGCTGCAAATCGCGGAAATAAAATCTGTTAAAAGGAAAATATTAATACAGATTACCTAAATATAATTTTGTTTTAATACTCACATAAAACCCAGAGTGCCATCCAAGAAGTTCCAGCTGTTGAGCACGAAAAAGTTGGCCACCGCCACGCCCAGGCAGCTTACAGCAAACAGCAGCGATATAACCACACCCCTCTTAATGGAATTCCGTGAGAAAACCAGGAGAAGTGGAGCTATCAACACGACGGGATATAAACTGCGGACAGTCTCAAAGGCCAGGACCAGAAGGCACGGAAGGAGCAGTCCCTTCACCAGGCAGTAGAGGAAGAAAGCCAGGAACAGATTACTTATCACCGTCGAGGTCATGCCGATGCAACTCATCACGGTGAGGGGATTAAACAAATACGCCACGATCACCAGTTCCGGAATGTCGAACTTGTCCAGGGCGCTGAACTGCAGCTCCTCCGTGTCCCTCGCGTACTCCTTTCGCTCCACCTTCTGCTGATCCTGCTTTTTCTTCACAAATCGCAGGCTCATCGCATAAAGCAGGGCCGCCGTGAAGACGTCCAGAATGATGTAGAATATGGGCAAGAACTGCGGGTAGTTTTGGAACAATCCAGAGAGAGCGCTGAGGATCAGGGGCGACTCGTGGACCAGGTCGCCTTGGTAGGGATCAATGCCACTCTGCAGCAGGAAGATCCCCTCTTGCACTGCAAGGATATCACCATTCAGATACATATATGCAATATATGATGTGTACTTTGTTTACTCACTGCGCTTGTGTGAATTCAGTGGCGTCGCGAACTCCACCCGATTGCCAATCATCGCGGCCAGCGGCGTGCGGCAGAAGTAGAAGCGCACGGCGCCGCCCAGGAGGAGCAGTTTGAAGAACTTCGGATCCATCTTCTAGTTGGGCATGGGCATAGCTTTTTGGGAACGTCTGAGATCTGAGACTCCGCCTGAAAAAAGCCGCCTACAGCTGTCGTAGTGGTGGCCCAGGTCTTCGATATGTTTGCAGTTTTCGTGTCACGTTCCTTGGATTCCCGTCAGATGAGCTGACAAGTCAGCTATTTTTTAGATAAATTTAAACGAATTCGAATTTCAATACAAAAGAAATTAAATAAACTTGATTCAATAGAAAAGGTTTTTTAGATTCAAAATTTAGAAAATAACAGTTTCCTTAGCAAACAGATTGCCACGAGAAATAAACATTTTTTAAATACACTTACCTATTATTTCAACAAAAAAAAATAAAAGGAAATACTTACGGTGCTCTTAAATGGAGGGAGGGGCTATTGGAAAAATGTTTAAAAATCTTAAAACCTATGATAGGTTCACGAGTAGTATTTGTAATAAACGCGGTTATTTCTTTGTTTTAGTGTTGTTCGATTAGAAGTTTTTACTTGGTAGTTTTTGGTAAATTTTGAGAAGGTTTCACAAATTTCATATGAACTATTAAGAATTTATTAATTATAAAATATTAAACTCCACTGTGACAATTTGGGACTTTAATTTAACATGTTTGAAATTAAACCCGTTGGCCGCTAAAATTGGCGGAATTGAGAATTTTAGCGGGAATTCAGGGCTGGTCGAGATCATTTGGCTCGAAACCCGTTTCACCATCTGGCAACCCTGTTGTGTTGTTTTTTACTACTTTACCGCACTTGCTTTAACTCATATTTTAATAAACTAAATTAAGCACAGAAAGTACAATACAATTAAATATGATTGGAAGTAAGAAAACGAAGAAGGCGAACGTGTTTAAGGAGATAGCGGATAACTTCGAGCAGCTGACCAAGAATCCGGAGCGTTTCCTCAAGTTTGTTTTCCTCCCAGAGCAGCGCGCACGTGTTTTTTTTCAAACGAATTCTAAACAATTTTTAATTTCAGGCCGCAGCCGGAACAATTGGAGGCCATCGAGCAGCTAATCCAGCAGACCTACGCCGTGAGCATCAGCGGGGATGTGGCCAACAAGAAGGCCCTGCTGCCGGAATTGGTGCTGGACCAAATGGACGAGGAGCAGATCTGGCAGCAGCTGGAGATGCGCAACGAACTGGTGTTCCAACAGCTGCTGGAGCAAACTGCCCAGTTGACGGCCATGCGGGAGCAGCACCTGGGCATCGAACTGGACGACGGCGAGGAGGAGGAGCTGGGGGATGAGGACGAGGATCAGGAGGCCGAAGATTCAGCTGAAGATGAACAAGAACAGGAATCAGAATTCAGCGAAGAGGATGAAGGACAACAAAAGCAAAAGACCACATCTCCCAAGGATAAGAAGACCAAGCGAGGGCGCAAATCCATCGTGGACGACACCTTCTTCAAGCTGGACGAGATGAACGATTTCCTGGAGCAGGAGGACGCCAAGGAGATGCGCCGGCTGAACAGCAAGCGTCGCGTGGAGCAGGCCGACGACATAGATCACTATGCAGAGGATTTCGGATTGGGCGAGGATGAGGATGAGAATGTCAACTATGCGGACTTCTTCGACATGGACGAGGAACTGGAGCAGCATGCTAAAAAGCTAAGCAAAGGCAAGCAGAAGGATTTCTTTGATGGAAACGAAAGTGAGAGTGAGCAGGAAGAAGGTGAAGAGCCCGAGGAAGCCGAGTCAGATCAGAACGAAGAAGAGGCTGGAGAGGATCTAGAAGAGGCGGCCAGCGAAATAGATGAATCCGAATTTGTGGCCAAGAGTGGCATTGAACCAGCCAGCGATTCAGAATCGGATAAAGAGGAAGATGAAGATGAGGAGGAGCAGGAGCAGGAGGAACCTGCAGAGCTACCCTCCCAATCCTCCAATGAGATGAGAGAGGCTCGCCTGTTCCAACGCATCCGCGACTACGAAGACGTTGTCCTGGGCGAGAAGCCCTGGCAGCTGAAGGGCGAGGTTAAGGCGGCCAACAGGCCGCAGAACTCGCTGCTCGAGGAGATTCTCGACTTTGACTCGACCACCAGACCCGCGGCGCCCATTACAGAGGAGGATAATCGCTCCATCGAGGACATCATCAAGCAGCGCATTCGCGACAAGGCCTGGGACGACGTGGAACGCACAGTGCGACCTGTAAACACGCCACAGGAATACCGCAAGCAGCTTGTTCTGGACCAGGAAAAGTCCAAGCAGTCCCTGTCGCAGATCTACGAGGCGCAGTACCAGCGCGAGATGGATAAACTCAACCCCAATGGCGATGCCGATGACAAAACTGGCCCCGAACCCAAGGAGCACCAGGAAATCAAGAAGGCAATGCGCTCGCTCTTCCTCAAACTGGACGCTCTGTCCAACTTCCACTTTACTCCCAAACCGGTGGCGCCAGAGGTCAAGATTGTGACCAACACGCCGGCCGTTCACATGGAAGAGGTGGCTCCGTTGGCCGTGAGCGATGCCAAGTTGCTGGCACCCGAGGAAGTGTTCCGTGGACCCAAGCACGCTCCTCTGGGCAAGACAGAACGCGACCGGACGGACAAGAACCGCGAGCGCCGCAAGAAGAAGCAGAAGCAGCGGGCCATCAACTCGGCTCTGGAGCAGCGCGATCTTCAGCGCGCCAAGGAGGGCAAGGCGCCCACGAAGAAGGAGGCGGATGCCAAGCTGCTAAAGTCCATCACCAAGAATCGCAATGTTGAGAAGGTAACTAAAAATGTTTTGGTTAATTAAAAAGACTTTAGATGATGATTTCCTCAATTTTGTCAAATGAAATTGTTTTAGCTTAAACTACAATACTAATACTAAATTTCCCTTGCAGATCAACGCGAACAGCGACGACAAGGGTGCTCTGAAGTCCTCGAAGGCGTTCTTCAACAAATTGCAGGACACCACGGCGGCCACAGCATCCAACAAGCGTCCGAAAAAGGATCCCGCCAAGGCGAATGCCAAGAAGCTAAAGCTTTAAATGTACATTTTAAGACTCCTCCAACTGGTAATTGCCTTCAGCCAACCAAGTTTCTCGTCTCCAGTCACGTGCCAGAAAATGGGCATAAGCACACATAGGATTCCTGGTTGCAAGAATAACTTTTGCGGGTCCTGCGAGTCTAGGGAGTCCTCAATTTGGGGCTCCATGGGAGCTGCCATGCGCCGGCACTTTTAATGTTCCATGTGCCAGTGTCCTGCGTGTGCGTATGTGGTGTGTGGGCGATTTGCGATTTGCGTGTGGCTGTGTGTGAGTCAAGGACATTCGGTGGCCTGGTGTGGCGATTAGGCACGCGTGTCGTGTGCGGAATATGACTATTTTTAGAATTATTTACTTAAAATAAACTGTTTGCTATGTAAATAGATCCCTAATTAAAGGAAGCTGCAAAGTTCGCAACTTAAAATACTTTCTTATATTTCTTTAAACGAATCTTGTCTGGTTTTATTTCATACGTATTTTTCAAGGAATTTGAAACAAAATTCAAGCCAAAATACGCCTAAGAGGATTTCCGTGTTACACCCAATTAAAATCGATTGCTTTAATTAAAAAAATTAAATATTAAATTATTATTATTATATTCAGATTTTTGATATAACCCTCATTTGGTACTTATAATTCGGAGCCTCTAGTAAAATATATGTACGTTTAAAATCTATTTTGTGGATAGTATCGTTATCCGTTAGATTTCGAAAACTTGTCAAATAATGTATTGATTTAACGAACCAGAAAACCGTTTGTCTGCATGTTTAATGTAAATTAGGGATAAAACCTTAAAAACGTATGAGGTTACAGAATTTAAAGCCTACTTTAAATTAAACAGGCGGACGAGAGAACGGATCAAATATTTCAACTCGGGATACGAATTTATTCGAGACTCAAACCAACCCAGTGGTGAAACTACTTCTATTAAAGTTCTGATTTCACCCTCTTGGCTTCGTTTTTGGAATATATTTCATACATTTTAGTCGAGCTATGCAGTTGTAAACGCTAGTTTAAAATGTAAAACGGCTTTTAGTTTATTTGGATATTGCCTAAACTTGATGAATTTGTAGGGGGATTCCCTAAACTGTTGAATTGCTGAATTGTTGAAAATTCAACAGAAAATTTCAGCAATTAAGGGAACGACCCAAAATGGTTCCTGTTGAACCAAACAGCTTTTCAAACAGCTTTTATTTGTTGAAAAATTTCACGGAACTTAAAGCATGTAAAATTTGATTTATTATTGCTAGTTGCTGTCTAAAAGTGTTACCAAGGTAAAAAGAACCACAAATATGCCTTCTAAGTTGATTTTAAAATAAAAATTGCGTACTGGTGATACTAAAATGTTACAGAGTTGCCACGACCTTTAAAAACAGGCGACAACTCTGGCTTTTCAGCAATTCAACAAAATTTTCATCAGCCCCGAGGCTGTTGAATTGCTAAAATTTCTGAAAGTTGACTTTGTATGGAACAGCTGATTAACAGCTGACCAAAATTCAACAATTCAGCAATTCAACAGTTTAGGGAATCCCCCTTACATGAAACAGTTAATAAACAGCTTACCGAAATTCAACATTCCGCAATTCAACAGTTTAGGGAATACCCTATTTGATGATGCCCGCCAAACATCGATATTTCGAAAACATCGATAACATCTATGTTGGCATCGCTGTTTCTTCACCTCTATTAGCACGTGTGGTTGTGTTTTATTTAAAAAATAATTTTGCCCGAGTTAATACGCATCAGTCGCCCGAATTAAGATGGTTAAAGTACAGAAACCGCAGCCCAAGTCGCTGAACAAGAGCGCCAGCATCGAGGGCGTGGTCAAGAAGAAGGGCAAGGCGGAGAAGTCCAAGAAACTGCCTGTGGAAGCCACATTGGATTTGGTTAGCAGCAAAAAGTCAAACAACGCGGCGGCGAAAAAAACAGATGCCGCCAAAAAGGTGCCAAAGGTGTCCAAAAAAGAAGCCGACAAGAAGCAGCCAAAAGCGGCTAAGAGGCCACTGATTCTGGCTCCTCCGGAGTCGCCGGCTGCTCCCCAGCCAGCGGAGAAGAAGTCCAAGACAAAGCCGGCTCCAGTGGCCAAAAAGAGTGCTGCCAAGAAGCCCCTGATCTTGGCTCCTCCCGAGTCGCCAGTGGCACCCAAAAAACAAGAGAAGAAGGCCAAAGCAGCTTCAGTTGCCGGCAAAAAAGAGCCAGCTCAGTCTAATAAGTCTGTCCAGGATGCTGCCCCGGTAAAGAAGTCAGCCCCGGCTACTGCTCCCACCAAGAAGATTGCTCCTCCAGCCAAGAAGTCGGCTCCAGCTGCTCCAGCAGCCAAGAAGTCGGCTCCAGGTGCTCCACCAGCGAAGAAAAACCAGAAGCCAGCTGCTGAGGCACTCAAAAAAACACAAAAAACCGCGAAGGGGGCACCGCAAGCCAAACCCGCCAAGGCTCAACCAGCTGCCCAGCTCCAAAAGAAGACCAAGCCGGTGCAGAAGCTTTCCAAACCGGCCAAGGCGCCCAAATCCAAGAAGCCTTTCAACAAGTCCAAGCCCGGACAGGCCAAGACCGCCAAGAAAGAGCCGGTAAAGGCCAAGAAGCCCGTTGAGCTGACCTTCGAACTGAAGTCCTTTGACGAGAAGAGGTACCAGGAGATTGTCAGCGAGAATAATGTGACTAAAGTCTGCCAGGCCCTGAAGACTTTGGTGTCTGAGGAGGTGGCCAAGAAGAAGACTACCTCGATCTTCAGCGACTATCGTTACGTGCTGCAAGTGAGCAGCTACAAGATTGCCAGCTGCCCCAAGCGCATGGTCAAGTTGAACCTGAAGCATTCGCTGGTCGGAAGCGACGACGATGTGGCCCTCATTGTGACCGATTTGCAGCGTGGTGCCAAGTTCGACTCCGATCCCACCAAGCAACACTACGAGGATCTGCTGCGAGAGGCCGGCGTGAAGCAGCGTCTCACCATTGTGCCATTCAACCAGCTGCGCAACGATATGGGCTCTTTCGAGGCCAAGCGCAAGTTCCTCAACAGCTACGACTACCTGTTGTGCGACGGTCGCCTCTCGGGCCAAGCCAGTGCCTTTTTGGGCAAGGTAAGAGATCTGCCTGCTAATGAGTGTGTTCTAAGGAAACGAAAGTATCCTCCTTTTGTTAAAAAATAATCCATACAGGCGGTCACGTAGACCAAAAATGTGTTTAGAAAAATGGAGATCTACGTACTTAGGATTATCTCAATCCGTGCTTAAAAGTGGAACAAAATTTGGTTTAAATTACAATATATAAGATCTGATAGTAATAGGAAATTGCATACACAATTTAGGAGTTTTTAGACCTTAAAGAAAGCGTTTATCTTATTTATATTGCTATAGGGTAAGAAATTCTCAACTGGGCATATGAAATAATGGATTTTCTTGGGTAAACTCGGGTACCTCGAAGAGTTTGCCTTGGTTATCATTTGTGATATTTTTTATTAATTTTTTGGTGTCAATTTAGGGGCGCTATGAATTTTAGAAGTTAAGAACTTAAAAAATGTTAGTATATCTCGGGAACGGCCAAGAGGAACAACGTGGAACTTTACACGGGGAATTAGGAAAATATTTTTTTAATTTTTTGTTTGCCAAAAAGTCTGAATTTTAATTATTTTAAATTTCCTATCGCGGTTTTGTAAGTCTTCTTCATCCTATATAATCAGCTCAACTATCCAAGATTGTCCACCTCATAACCAACTTAATTTACCCGAAGAAACATTTTGGTTCCTTTTTATCATTTCCGTGATATTTAATTTTTTTCCTTAATATAAGAAAAAACCTATTTATTTTTCCGAGTACAATTCTTACATGTTTAAGATGCAAGTTTGCACAACTCAATTACTCACTGATATTATGCACATATATTAATATCATAATTTTATATAACTATTTATAAGTAATATTTTTTCTTACTATTACAGCAAACCCAGAGACCCAGCAATGTGCTCCATGCCGTCCGTCTGAGCAAGGACAACGATAAGCTGCCTCAGGAGGTGACTCGCGCTCTTTCTCGCACTGCATTCAGGCAGCTGGCCAAGGGAGATCTGACCTCTATTCCGGTCGGCAACCACGAGATCAGCCCCGAGCAGCTGGCCGAGAACATTCTGTTCGTAAGCAAGCAACTCCAGCAGGTCTATCCCGGTGGCCTGGCCAACATCCGGTCGATGTACCTCAGGATCGATATAACAGGCACCTCGGCGCTACCGCTGTATGTCAGCATGTGCGCCCCGCCGGCGGATACGCCCTATGTCGTGGGCCCTCGGGAACAGCGTATGCTGAAGCTGAAGAAGCAGGCCAACGAAGTGCTGTCCAAATTTGCCCTGACCAAGGATGCAGAGTTCATCAAGCTGACCAGGGATCAGGTGAAGCGCAAGGCCGAGCTGCGCGAAGAGAAGGCTGCTCTGCTGGCCGCTGATGCTGCTGCTCCCAAGGACAACGATGGCGAAGACACTGCTGTGCCCACAAAGAAGGCGCGCAAGGATTCGAGCAGCGAGGGTGCCAAGGCCGAGGCAGAATCCGATGAGGAGGAGGAAGGCGAGGATGCGGAGGACAGTGCCGGCGAAAGCGGCGAGGATGGCGACGACACCGACGAAGATGATGATGATGAAAATGACGATGATGATGACGACGAGGACGACGATGAGGAAGATGATGACGAGGAGGATGATGATGAGGATGAGGACGATGAGTAATGCGCCAGCCTCATTGCTCTTCGTTAGTTCTAGTTTTATTTCTATATATGCAAACCTATCTTGCTATAATTCCGTTTGCAATTTTTACAACAGTTTTAAGTAATAAACGAATGTTTAAGTATGGAAATACTTGTGTTCTTTTGTTATATACTAACACTATTATTATTAACAGGACAAAGGATTGATCAATAATTCTCACTTTGTTCCCAAAAGTAGTAGTAAATTAATTTTGTGCTCTGCGAAATCGTTTTTAAAGTAGGAAAGTAAAACTTGACCATTGGCAGTTTTTCCGGTAAATAAATAAACTAATATTTTTCGCATAAATTTGAATTATTAAAATACATATAATTTTGTTTAAAGCTCGTTTCATAAAATTTTGGTTTGATTGCATTTTTAAATTGTATCACTATTACAAAAAATATAAACCAAAAATTCAAGAAGTGCACTTATTAATCATTTAACAATTTTTTTTTTGATTAACACCATTTTTTCTTTGATTTAAGAACATTTGATGTCCATTTTATGACCAAAAGATCTATGTTTACAATGATTTTTTAATTTTCAAATGTTTTTTCTTGTGTAGTACTATAAATACGAAATAATCTGAAAATAGCAATTATCATGCACAAAGTTAATTGAATACAATCAAATGTATTTAATTGTCGCTGATATGCAAATCAGTAAGGAAAAATCGTTTAAAAAACATTTATGATTGCAAACCCAATGGTTTGCAATGGATAGCCATGAATATTCACATAAACCGTTATCTGCACATTCTCAAATCAGGCATGAACCTTTCGGTCGCCGATTTTGAATGCCTTTTCCAGATTGCTTGTTTGTGGAAAATGGCTCAGATTCCTTTTTGAAGTATCGCATCTCAAAAGTGGATGCCAACCACCCTTCGTGGCATCCTTTGTGGTCATAAAATCCAAATATGCATTATGCCCCCGCACTCTCTGCCCAGCGGGAAGCTGCAACGTGTACACACGCAACAAAGTCAATTTTAGTTTTCATTAGAACTTATTTATATGCATGCGTATTTTTCTATCAACCCTGTTCCAGATTTTGCTTTAATATTATTTAGTTTATTACTTTCTGCCAAGCATTCTGCATACGACAGCTAGAAAATTATTTGCTGAAATGCCAATGACATTTCAGATTTTGGACTAAGAACATTTTTGGTTTGATAATAATTATTTTGTAGCTACACCTCAGAATTAAATCTATTCTAACCTTTACTATTAGGGCAAATCCTCCATCCTTAATCAGAATTTTGATTTGGCTAAAATAATATAATTCTAGCCACCAAACAAGGGAACTTATATTATGTAAGTACGTAAAGAAAATCCTATGCTCATCTTAACGTATTCTTTTCCGAGGGAAAACTGGAACAGGCCGGTATATGTTTTCGTCGACTTCGAACTATCCAATGGGAGTACAGCAAAATGCAATTTCTTTGATGTCCCTGTCGAATTATTTATGAGTGGAGGGGTTGGGTATTTAGGGGTTGACCAAAAGTGGCCGTTCGCCTGCATAATTCCTCTTAATTAGCGTTATGGATTGCTCATAGCTAATAACTTTGACAGTTGTATGTCCGAGCTCACAACTGTCTTGTCGAATTCCATTTGAGATCCATTGAGCTTTTTTATGTGGGCAAGGTCGCGGCTCTGGAGATTAGAATCACGTTCAGCAGGAACCGCCAAATAAATAAAGCAAAAACAGGGACCAAAAACCAAGCCGGACACGTCGAAGGGAGCAACAAAAACATTGTAAAGCTTTTATCAGTCCAAATTATCATTAGCCGCGTTTTCTGTGGCTGCCATAAAATCCATATACGTACATATATGTGAGGATTATCATGTACATTTCTATGTGGATATGGGCATTTAGGATTCTCTACCTACGCATTTGGCATTTACCCATTTCCGTTGGCCATTCTGTTATTATACATGCTTTTGTTCCAGTCAGAGGTTACAAAAATGTGGGTCAATTAAGGGTTGACAAAAAATGTAGATTTTTAAAGAATAATAAGATGTTGCTATAAAGATAAATTTAATATAATATAATACCATTTGCTCCAAATAAAATTTTATAAGATTGAATGTTATTGGAATCTTAATCTGAGGCTAAAATCATAATACTTATGAAAAATGAAATACCTACCTATTTACTTAGTTAACCTTTTTTAAATATATATATTCTTTAAGTTTTTCTATGCTTACTCTTGATATATTTAAAAATGGTTTACTTCAATATTTTAACACCTTTATAAGAAAGAAAAACAGGGTTAAGCATAAAATAGCAACAGTACCCTTTCAATTACATCAGTCAGCCTAGGTAAAGCCCACGATATAACTTCCTTATCTCTTTCGGGATTTCATAATTACAATACACCATTTATGGTCGACTAATTGTGAGTATGCGAAAATAACCAAAATTAGTCAGAACGGTTCCGCAGAAAGGTGAGATAGGTGATGTAATGCCAATTATGAGATAATGCCAGAAAAATTATTAATAATCTGGTATATTGGGGGGATTTATATTGGATTTGACGGCTGACAGCTGCCGGAGCTGGCCCACTAATTGAAAACAATCAGATGCTGATTAGTCCGATGCTGATATCGGCATGATCGATGGACAATGGCCCGATAAACTGTTTGATAATTGTGCGTAATAGATGATTAATAAACTAAAACAGGACGTATCCAACTGGTTGCCGTTGCCCTTTTGCCACGTGTTGCGTATACGACCAGTTGGCCAGCACCCACCGACTCCCCATGACTGCGCAAAATCCCAACCGAAATCGGCCAAAAGCACCAACCATGATATTGTGGGCGGCAAACTTCGGTCTTTCCGAGCCTCGGAATTTCCACTCGGCTCCCACCTGAACGCGTTGAAATCTTTCGTATCCTCGCCTCGTATAAATCGCGGTCTCCTTGGCTGCCGATTTCACTTGCGTTTCAGTCTCAAAGCGGTGCAGTCAGCAGCAGTAACGGTTAATATCAAAACCCGATTCAAGAAGTTTTCAAAATTCTCTAAGCAGTTTCTCAACGTTTTTGAACTTTGTTTTTGTGTTTTGCAGTGGACTCGATCTGAAATATTCGAACATTGATCATTAAATTAAAAGTGTTGTGTGAGTTTGTGAAAAAAGGTGAGTGAATATTTTCTGTTCAATTTTTTACCCAAGCGTTACTTAAAGCACATATAAATTTTTAATTTAAAATGGATAAAGTTACTATAGGTTTTATCAAAAAAGTAAAAAAAGGAATCTTCAATAGGAAAACTTCTGCTACGCATAAAAAAATCTTCTAATTTTAAATTATTTTTTTTTTTAAATTTATAATGCCTAATTAAAATTACGTTTTTCTAAAGGATTTAAGAAAAATGATAATTGTTTCTCTGATTTTCTTCTAAGCATTTTTTTGTAAGTCAACATTTTAAAATTTTTTATTTACATATAAACCTTATAATCCGGAAAATTAAATAAACATTTTATGTCTCTAAAAATGATTAAAGTTTCAGAAATATGTATTGTTATTAACCAGGTTGTATCTTTATTGTATTTAAGTCCTAAAGAATATTACCATGATATTATTATAAATGACTATAAATCATTAAGTTAAATTTAATTAAATAGAGCATTAATTGTATTTGAGTATCTAAGTTTTGTTAAAAGGTGTAATAGTTTGTTTAACATCTTAGTTTTGCCGACGGTTAAATGATATTAACATTTTATGACTCTAAAAATTATGAAAGCTTCGGAAACATGTATTGTTATCAAGCAGTTTGTATCTTTATTGCATTTAAATCCTGAAGAATATTATTAGAAACGGAAATAAAACACTAAATTAAATTAAACATTTTTTTTTAAGTATCTATGTTTTGTTGCGAAGTTTGTTCAACATTTTATTTTTTGCCTATGGGTTAGCGATTTCTACATTTTTACTAGTTTTCTGTAATTTTATTTTTCAGCTAAAATATAAAATATTTCATTTATATGGCAGTTTGTGAGGCAATTGGTCTTCTTATTTTCCAATAATATGCATTTAAAAGAAACAAAATTAAAATCAAATACAAGTTGAATATCCTTTCATGAGCTTGACTTCCACTTAATTATCTTTTTATGGCTCAAAATTTCATATGTTTATAATTCAGCAAATGCCTCGGCCTTTTGGAAATTGCTTCTTAGCTGGCCTAAGCCATAAAGTCAACATGGAGCCCAACCCAGGACCAATGCGGTGGTCCTCCGATGATGTGTGTTGAGCCCGGGACATTTGTTGCTTCCCCTTTGTCCTTCCTAGCTCGGCTCTCTTTTGGCTTTGGCCTAGGCGACCTTTTCGCCCCTTGTATCTGGGAAAAATCTTTATTTTCTTGCTGCAAAATTGAAGTTGGCCCCTCGGCTTTATTACCTCTTGGCCCGGGCCAAGTAAGTCCTTTGGATTATCGCAATCATTTTAAGCTTTACTTTGCTCTCATATTAGAGCACCCTTATAGTTTTATGATTTTGCGGGAGCTCTACTCGCTTTTAGCAGTTTCTAACTTAAATTGCTAAAACTTTAGCACGAACTTGCGGAACTTCTGATCTTAAAGTTCGGCGGTTGAAATTGATTTTTCTGTACTAAAAACAACAGTTGGTGTTCCGAATTCGCAGAAATTGCTCATTTGTTCAGTGGTTCGAATGATGCCCCCAAAACTTAAAGAAAATTCAACTCAATTTTCAACGGAACATAGCTTTCATTTTAATGAATAATAAGTGAGAACGAGAAATTTAATTTAAATTATGTTCGCATCAAATGGAAGACTGTTTAACCAGGTAGATGAAATATCACAATAATTGAAAAATGATGAAATTAAAAATGTATTTAAGTGCGGTGCATCGCAAAAGCCGATTACCTGCGGCAGAAGTAAACGTGAGATGGTTCGGAACAGTGTCCCACACTAAATGCTTCTAATCCTTTTGCTTTTTTACACGTATTTTATTTCCATGCTTAAATTGAATATTCAGTTTTGTGAAAGAAATTGTAAAAAAGCGGATTATGCCGTATTACAATTTTAATTTGTATCTTTTGTCCTTTTGTTTTGAACAGGACTTTTAATTGGTTTGAATTCATAGATTCTGTTTTATGA